CCCCAAAACCCCAAAACCCCGTTGGGCAATGATAGATAATTTTTGTAGATTATAAACTTTGGAAATTTATAATAAAAAAATGAAATAAATGCGCATATTATACACTGAAAAAGGTTCTAGTATTCTTAAGGATATGTTTAAGGAAAATATTGATGCCTGGAACTCTTATGAAAAATCACCTGAAACTGATTAAGATATGTAGCTTCATGATACTCAGAGGAAAAAAACTATGGATCCTGATTACTCCTGACCAGTAACTATACTTCATAAGGAGTCAACTGAACTAATTAAGGAACCCCCATAATAGTAAAAAAGCATGAGAAATCAAATTAGAAGAAATTACAACTCTGTTATTGAAACAAAGAGAACTAACTCATCCTTAGAATTTAAAAATAATAAGATAGGAGAAGCAGCGGACACATTAGTTTTGCCTACTATAATGAACAATATTTAAAGCAATTAGGCTGAGCTAGCTAGAAAAGATAGTGATTATAACTTCAATGTGAAAGTTAAAAGAAAGAGATTTAAGATATCTGATTAACTTAAACCTGCTTATGAGAAAAAGTATGTTTAATTAGAGCTACCACCAGATTTGAATAAAAAGCTAGACGAGGATAACAAAAGATAAAGAAATTATAATATGAATTCAAGGAGCTAGCAAATGATTGGCAGTCTTAAAATATAGTTTGACAAACAGAATTAGATATATGATGGTATCAATAAGAGATATGCTGATTAGGTATATCATTACCCGACAATAGCTTAAGATATATTACCAGAGAGATTAGTTCCTGGTAGAATAAATTCACAATCTATAGAATAGGATAACTTCAACTTTCTAGTAAAAAAACATTAGACTATCTCGAATGTCTTACAATCAGTCTAACAATCTCCTAATCAATCAATCGTAAGAAATGAAGTGAATCAAAATATAATTGGCAAAACATATTTAAGATAAATGGAACATGAGACAAAAAGATTGTAAAATGCTGAAAAGATGGCTGATGCTACAGAAAGAGAACATGCATCATTTCCTGACATTTAGCCAATAAATATCAATCCTGAAGAACAGTAGCAAATTCTAAGATTGTTTAACAGTAGAAATAGGTAGAGATATCTAGAGAGGGTTAAGCATTTAAAGGATAGAAAGTACAATGACTTTTGGCTGGAATATAACATTGGCTAAGGTAGACCAAAGAATCATGAGAATGCTTAGGCCAAGAGATAGAAGTTAAGAATAGCACAGAAATAATCATTATAATCTCCATCTAATCAAAACTTTTAGCTTTTGGGTTTTAAAAGTAACTAAGAACTGGACAAATTTATTAAGATAAGTGACGAATAGTTTTTATAGCAGTGGCAGGATTATTAAAAACATTAAAATGAGCTTTGATGATGAAAAATATAATCTTAAGACTTTAAATTTATCGTTTATTTTTAATTTCTATTAACAGTTGATAAGTTTAAAAATGGCTCAACCTCAAAGAAGTATTATATTATTAATTTATATTATCTAGTTCTTCAACCAATTAAGTATGACTAGGTGGTAAATACTCAAGATAAGGATAGAGAAATATAGCAATTGAGAAAAACTCTCATAGAATAAAAAAAGCAAGAAAAAAATTTAGATTCAATTAAGATTCAGATAGCTGAGATCTAAGAAAAATACACATAGGAGTACAAGTTACAGCAAAAAGTTTAATCTTAAAGAGCTGAAGAGCTACTTAAATAATATGATGAGATTACCAGATAAAAACTTTATCGTGATTAAGCTAAGGATCTGATGTCAAGATGGTAATTCAAGCAGACTTGTTTAATTTTGATTGTAGTGAGGTGGTTAGTTAGGAATTAACGATAGAGAGAATAAAATCAATAGATGCATTGAGAACTGTAGATAAATAGTTTAACGATTAAAATGTCTAATTGAGTGACAAAGATGGGGAGGTAGGGGATGATTATAGGATGGCAGAAAGATTAAGAGATGAGATAAGGAAAATAAAATAGGATAGAACTTTGATGTTTAAGGAAATGAGTCAGTTAAAAATTGAAATCTAGGAGGGAGACTCCTCTTATAAGTTTACTAAGTAGAAACTGGATAAAAATGAGGCTCAGCTTTAGAAGGTCAGAGCAAAGGTGCTTAAATTAGAGGATAGAATTCTAGATAGGGAAAATCTGAAAGTCTAATCTCAAGCAGTGTTGGATAAGTTAGTTGATTAAGTGAAGAAATACAAGAAAAAAGTAAGATTCTTAAGAAGTCAGAACAATGACTTCGATGGCAGATCTCATGATAACAATATTGATATCGAGGCAATCAGAAAAGAATGTCTCCTAGTTACATAATAGCACTTAGAGCTCAACTAAAAGGTTGACTACTTTCAGAAGGTAAACAGGGAGTAGATTCAATTTCTGGATAATGCAGGACTGGAAATATAAAAGTGCAAAGATAATCTTGCTGAATAAGAGCGATAGATCGACAAAAATATGGCTTTGATAAGCAGTCTGAAAGAGAAGCAGCAGTTAATGTTTGAGGAGAACTTGCTGCTAAATCAAGAAATGGAAACAATCATCTGGAGAGATGAGCAACTTAAGAGTTACTTAGATAAAAAATCGGAGGTTCAAAGCATAAAGCGATAGAATAGAGAGGACTTACAGAGAAGTCTAAGGACTATTGAAGAAAATAGGTCGAAGTTTAAGACTCCTAGAAATCATCTTTGAAAAATATATTCAAACTCAATATCATGTGTGCAAATTGATTATTATTATTTAAATAATTTCATTAATTATCTTTTAAAATAAATTCTTATTAACGTTCGCGGGGTTTTGGGGTTTTGGGGTTTTGGGG